AACCCTTTTTTAGTGGCACAGTAGGGTGTTACATGTGGCCTTTGTTGGTGGGAGAATACATCTAAATATTTAGATTTATCCTATAAGTAAAAGGTTATAGCTACATGGCCTCTTTAGGCCTAGGAGAGATTCAACAGAAACAATTATTTGAGTTCCAAAAAACATAAAAAAAACAATCCACTGGACTTTGTTTTATGACTTTTTTGGAATGAATATGACCTGGGTGACTGAGAAATTTCACGAGTTAAACTGCAGATTCTTAAAAACAAAAAACAAAAAACAAACAAACAAACAAAAAAAAAACAACCAAACAATTTGTATCAGATTTCAATTTTAGTGACTAAAGAATGAATACCTTACCACTTTTATACACTGAAGAAAATGTTTCTAAAATTAAATTGAGTAGCTGGAGTTTATTATAGTTATTTTATTAGTTACATAATTAACACAGGTTTGTAGCAAAATGGGACAAAGATGTTCTTTTTTTTCCTTCCATGTGTGGAAAGGATTTTAACAAGGATTAACAGACTGGTGTATAAATATAAAGCTATTTAATGCGGAAGATAGAAATTTGGTAAAATAAGGCAGTAAGGTTTAAGAGCTAAGAATAAACCTTTTTTTCCACATTTTAAGATAATAATAATTAACTAGGAATACTAATTATAAAAACTTTTTTTCCCCCGTTTTTTAAATGACTCTACTACAAATACAAATAATTCCCTGATATAGCTGCGGAACAAAACTACAAATATGTGAGCTTCAGTGCAGAGCTTATTGCTGTATTTGCTTGCTTGTGCATTGTTTTGTACAGTTCTAAAACATCCAGCAAAAGACTATATAAAGAAAAAGTATTGGAATGTTAGTTTAAATGTTTTACAAGTCTGAATTGCTTGAGAAAAACATGTTACTAACTGCACAAATTATGGTGAGGGTTTTGCATGAACATAACTTTAAAATATTCTGTGGAGGAAATAAGACCCCTACAACAAAACGAAATTAAAAGAAAAAATGAAAAATAAAGAATTTTTATTTTATTTTAAAGAAATTTCTAGGAAATTTCTTTTAAAATGTTGTTGCTCACTTAAGCTCAACAAATGCTTACCTTCTACTCATTTGTTTGAATTATACGTTTTTTCATTGTTATGGTATATTAATGTAGCAAATTTGATAAAAGAAAAAAACTATAATATCATTAAAAGAAACACATAAATAAAGAAAACATTTTCCCCCAATTATATCAGCTAAGAATCAAAATCATTAAGGGAATCAGGTTTTATTTCCAAAATCAACTGCTCTAATTGGAAAAAAAAAAATTTTGGTGCAAAAAAAACACCACAGTCTTATCTTTAGCCATAAAAAACCCACACAACAATATAATAAAAGAAATAGATAAAATCAGCACGAACAAAATAATGAAACTGATTTAACAAGTTTTGTTTGTTTTATATATAATGCAATAAACATCCTATTACCATTGCTGATCTTTGATGCTTTTTTTTCTTACTTTTTTAGCCACTGCAAAATGCATCTTTTTAAATAATATTGACACAAAAAAAACTTTGTAGGGGAAAAAAAAAGCTTCAAAGCAAAAAGAACAAAATGTATCTCTAAAATCATCCCCCTTTGAAATAATTTTGAAATAAAATAATTAATTTATGACCTGCAGTTTTTAATGCAACTCTAACACAGTTTGAGAATTATAATTAGCTGAAGATTGATTAATCGTCTTGTTTTTTTTCAGTTGCACACCGGGCAATTAAGGATTTAAATTAGCTTTAATTGTTTTTTTTTCTCTTCATAGAGTTTGCTTTAGACAAGTTAAATCATTTAGATTAGATTTATGTTGATTATTTATGTGGAAAATTTAAAAAGAGATCAAAGTGCGTAATTACTGTTTTTTCCCCTTTATTATTATTGATTAAAAGCTTTTAAACAGAAAGCGCTCATGGCGTGCATTCCTGTCCTTTAGAAGGAAGACAGTTTGGTTGGATGTATGTCGGAAGTGCAGTAGTTTATGTATGCTAATAGGGGGAGTTGGGGGTTGTAGCTAGATATTTACGTTCAGTGGGAGCCGCCCTTCATTCACCCACATGGTTACCAAGTGGTCGCCTTCGCGCCACTTTCTTAACCCTGTAATCATATATAAGAAGATTCTCTTGACTTCAAATGGGCTCTCTTTCGATTCCCACCTCACTTTACGGCTCATTTTGGTCCGCTGTTTGAAAAGTTTTTGGGATAGTAGAGGTTTTATTCGCCTCTTTTGTCGCCGTGAGAGCAGCACGGCAGCCCGAGCGAGTAAAGCGAAGATGGTGGATTTCGGCTGGTGAGTGGAGCGCATGTTTATCGGTGAGGAAGTGTAGTTCCAGGCTATGTTTAAGTGGTAATAGTCGCCGCTGTTGGATATTTCTGTTTCTTTATCCCTTCCCCGTGTGTTTGTAGCGTTTTATAAGTGGAAACGCACAGCTTCAACCATGAAAACACAGTAGCGTGAAGCGCATGGCAGCCCCCTCAGCTCCACCATTGAGGGAATGAGCGAGATTTGAAAAAGCGGCGTGGAGCTTCCTCTGCTGCGTTTCCAGCAAGCGGCGTGGAAAATTACACAGCTTGTCGATTACAACAAAACGCACTCTAAAACAACGGCGTGGCGTCTGTAAAGTTTGTCTAAATGTGCTCTAATTGCGCCCGAGTGTCGAGTGCAGTGGTGTGTGAGTTAAAGTGCCCCCCAGAACAAAGCAGCAGCACATGGGGCATCTCTAGGCCGCGCGCTTTAGCTAACTTAGCCTAGCTAAGTTAGCCTAGCCTGTGCGCACCAGGCTACTGCTAAACTTTTGTTTATTTGAAGCCCTACACTTTAAGAGTGGAAATCTGAATTAAATGTAACATGAGAGCCACCGAAACTAACGGGCACACGTGGGTTTACAACGTGTTTTTTTAACATGTTTGATAGTTGTTGCGGATATTTAACGTCTACCAAAATGCTAATAGTTTAATCAGCAGTTTATTTTCTCCAGAGCGAGTCACAGTCCTAAACTTACTAATAGCTCTAGCGGTTATTAGAAAGTTAACGAGGCTTTATATCCCAAGTCTAGCAAACAGCAGCTCGTAGCGGCTAAGCTACCTGCGGATGCTGTTCCCAACACGAACCAGTTTTTGTTTTTATTTTCCTCAAAGCGACCGAAAAGACCCAAGTCGCATTTTTGTCTGTACACAAAGCATGGAGCCGTGGCTTTATTTTTCCTGTTTTCAACACAACTAGTTTTTTTTACGCTTGCTTAATCTAAAGTCGTTTGAAGTGCTAATGTTGGCGCACTTCAGGGCGCCATGTTAGAAGATGTGGGGGAGGGGTGAACGGCTTGGCGCCTTCTGCGCATGCGCAGCAGCGGGGACGCTCATTCATATTTTCAGCGACCTCGTGTTGCTCTAAAACTGAAACGGTCAACACACCGCAGCTCGTGGTGCCACTTAATCCTCACGACTACTAGTAGTGAGCATTTCCGCCATTTCTTTAGAGCCAGAGTGTTTCTAACTTTGTTTTCCTACTTTCAGATCCACCACGAGGTGCAGTGGACCCCATGCTGTGGACACTTTGTTTGCTGTGGAGCAGTGATGCAGTCTGTGCATTGTCAAAGTGCTTACAGTGCAGGTAGTAGTATGTGATACCTACTGCAGTGGAGGCACTTACAGCAATACACAGACACTTGTATACGGGTTGTTTTGCTATGTCACTTGAAATACTGTCTTTGTGCTAAGGTGCATCTAGTGCAGATAGTGAAATAGACTAGCACCTACTGCCCTAAGTGCTCCTTCTGGCATAAGGGGCTGTGATATACACCATCAAGTCGTAATCAAAAACTTCAAATTGGGCACATATGTCTTGCAGTTCACTGCTAGTTTTGCATAGTTGCACTACAAGAATAGATGAGTTGTGCAAATCTATGCAAAACTGATGGTGGCCTGCTTGCTCTACAACTATTTTGGAGTTGGATTTTTATTTTCATGGGGGGGCTCACATTTTACATGTACCATTGTATTCTATCAGTTTAAAAGCTTTACTGGTTTCCGGTGACTACAGTTTCCGCAGTACTAAAGTGCTTATAGTGCAGGTAGTGTTTGTCCCCATATCTACTGCAATGTAAGCACTTGAAGTATTTCTAACTGTATATCTTCGCAGCTGTGACTGTGTACTCTGAAGACAAATCTGTTAGTCGTTGCTTGGTCAGTTTTGCTGGTTTGCATTCAGCTTTAAACAGATGTGTGCTGTGCAAATCCATGCAAAACTGATTAAGTTGACGGGCCACGGTCTTTTAAGTGGAAATGTGTTCTGTCCTACTTGGCTGTCTTGGGATGTCCTGTCCTATTCAGGTGGGGATCGGTGGCAATGCTGTACTCCTTGAGGTATTGCACTTGTCCCGGCCTGTAAAGGAGCGGGGAGATTAGCTGACCTTTGCCAAACTGTTGCATCCTTTAGATGTCTGTATTTTTTATTTATTTTTTCTTCCCAGTTGGGTAATTGTAAGGTTGATCATTAAAAATAAAAAAAGTTTCAGCAAAATGAATGCCCTGATTTCTTTATTCTGCTCTTGAGTTTCTTAAGATCCTTGAATCCTTCTAACTGAAAAGGGTTTTTTGTTTTAATTTTTACTTAATATAGTAATACTATGATGAGCTAATCTGTTTCCAGCCTTATCTGTATTTTTTTCTAAATCGAATCATTTGTATTTTAGTTATTATTTTTTTTTTTTTTTTTAATGCAGGCTTGGTATTCTGGGACAGTGAATAGATATTTTTATATTTAAAATTCTTGCTTGATTTGGGTAATATTGAAAATCTGGTTATAAATTTTGTTAAATCAGGACCGTTAACTGTCTTTACTCTGATGCTGGAAAGTTTGTTCTGACATTTTAATTCGCTGTCCACTAGATGGCGCTGTACTATAGATTTTAGTCAGCCCGCTCATGTGCCCAGGTAACCTGGTACCGCCTCTGCTGTCGGTCCAGTCAACTTGGACCGTATGCAGCATTCAGAGAAGTCGCACAGTTGAAACTTTGAGTCAGTTTCACTACTTAAATCAGAGCAGGACTATCTAAACATGGTGTTTCCTTTTCTGAAATGCGGACCTGTCTGATACCTGCCTGCATCTTTGTGAAGAAAGGGACCTGACTTCCAGCAAGTCATTTTCTGGATCATCAAGCAGGAGTTTTACTAAAATGAGTGCGCTATTGATCTGCGTTTTTCTGATGTGCTCGTATGGATCTGGGTTCGCTGAGCCGGAAAATTGCGACGAGGTGCATAAAGTTTTTCACCTGAGGCAAATCGGACCCAGTCATGTTTTGCCTTCAGGTCCTGTATCAGGTAAGCTAAGCATTTTATCCCTGCCAGGATTTAAAGCGCTTTCTAAACTTCTGCAGATGCTGATGAAGCAGTTGTCGCAAGAAAATAAAAATGGGATACAGAAAAATTACTCCCACGTTACCCATTTACCGAGAAAGCTCAAGTTTTTATACACTTGGAAATGTATTGAAAGGTTCATCCTTATGTAGTTGTGATTGGAGGCAGTTGTGGCTGACAAATTTGTGAAAAATCAGCTGCTTTACATAATCCTAACGGGACTTATAGCAGTCAAATGACCACTCTGTTAAGCATGACTGGAAAGTAATAAATCGGTGTCTGTCCTTCCATGCAATCAATGCAGATTAATCAGTTGCTGCACATATATCCCCTCCAAACAGGCAGATTATCGTTTTTTTTAAAAAGTAACTTTTCATTCCCAATACATTTTCATGGCTATAAGTAAACATGGTTAAGTCTAATATTTCATTAAATCATTCGAGCTGCATGGGGATTTAAGAAAACAATGCTGTTTTCGAGGGTTAAACCTTATCAGAGCACATATAATCATGGAGCATGATTATATAGTGTCTTGTTGAGCTGCAATAAGCTGCAATCACAATCGGGCACAGAAAAAGATTTTTCTGAATCAGTTTTGTCTTGGAGATGCCAGCTTTCAAATGCACAGGTCGTGAGTTGATGGTTTCGGCCTTCTGGACAATCGAAGTCCTTTCATCATGAAATGCAGCATCAGATATAAGTACATGGAAACATCTTAAGGTTGATGTGTACTTTAGTTGTAAAACTTGGAAATCTTGGTGAGGTTGTTAAATGTATGTTTTGTCCTAAATTCTTTTCGAACACATGCCTGAATGATAAATATCAACAGAAATTATAAAAATCCAACAAGGCAATGACCCAGAGGATAGATTTTAACATAGACCAAATAATGTAGTGTAAATCTAAAAGAATGAAGTCAATAACTTGTAGGATAAAATCTCATTTGGTTAATTAACTATGATTGTTTTTAATCCTAAAAACAGTCTATTTCCAGACAACAGGAGATTAGGTTTATATGATGAACATGGGTGCTCTGCAGTGTTTAGATGCTGACCTTTCATATTGCATCCTAGATTTTAAAGATAGATGGGTCCCCTTTTTTCCTTCAGTAATTTTGCACATAGAGTGGCAGCAACATGTTCATGCAACAGCCTGTGTTGTATTCCTGGAATTACCAGAGTCTGCTGCCTTAAAGCCATGCTGCTTTACCCTTTGACTCGACAGTCTAAAGCTGCACAGATTGAAACAGAAACTCCCTCACTGGAGTGTTTACCACAGATAAGTGGCTTTTGGAGATGCCACCCATGGTAATTATGTGTAAGATTTGGGAAGAATTATGGGTGTTTCATGTGGACTGTCATGGTGCAGTCTGCCCCCCCTAAATAAAGCTTAATGGTGTTGCCTGCCATTCTGCCACAAAATGCAGTCTCCACACCCCCATCTCCCTAACTTTTGACATAATTAACAGAAAACCCACAAGAACCTCCTAAACCTCTAAGTGCCACATTGCCTCTCCTTAAAGGAGCCTCAGTGGCGGGGCTGATTCATGACTGAATACAAAATGGTTTTCTTCTTAGATAAATTGTTTGCTGAGGAGATAATATTTATTTTAAGAGATATGAAAAAAAAAAAATTTGCTACTGTTGCAAAATATCTAACTGCTGCCTCTTATCACCTTATCGCATCAAAATCCATTGCAAAGACATTTATCTCTTTCTTGATGGGTTTAGATGATGTTCCAAAGTGAAACAGATACACATAATAGTAGGCGTTATGGGGCAAAGGTGTTTGTGAAAAACAACCTGTAAAAATGTTAACGCCAAAGAGGAATATAACCATTCACAATGAGAACAAAAACCAAAAAAGATTAAGTTTAATTAAAACATAGCGAGTCATAATTACTACCTGTAGGCAGTATAGGAAGTGGCCAGCATATATCTGGTGAAAAGAAAAAAAGCAAAGGCCTCCATGCTGCCTTATCTGGTATACTTTGAATTCCAGTATGTATGCCATCACTTGCTCTGCTCACCGTCAGACCTTGCGGGGACTTAATGGCGTCTGACAACAGTCTCCAAACCCTGCCTGGACTTGTTGTGGAGGCTTTTGCAGGTTTTTGGGTCTCAGGGATGTTTTGATTGTCCTATAGATGGTCTACTCTGGTTTCTATGTCTGTGTGTAAAAGAAAAACAAAACAAGACTTTATTTGATTCAGCTAAAATATACTTTAAAATCTAAGATCCAAATTTATTAGTTCACCTTTAAACTGTATATGTATCTGATAGTTTAGGTATACCTCTAACCATATATTTCAATGAAATGTCCACATAGAGCTTTTTGAAAAATATTTTAATGCCCTTAACCATTTCACATTTAATTTTTTTTTTGTTTAAACCACTCATTTTATTTTATTTCTGGAGGGCTTTATGTGACATGCTGTCAGGATCAGTTTGTCTGGCTAAGGACGAGTCACTATTCACATAAACACGAGACAGAAATAAAAGAACAGTACAACGTGTTTAGTCATTTGATTTTATTTCGTATCATTTCTACATGTGTAAGAAAAAGGGGAAAAGTAAGGTTGTTACACTCAAACGTGCCCCATTTTAAGTTGTTCATTGTGTCCGTCAGGTTGAATAGTGGCTTTGTAGATGATGACTAGCAGCTCCTGTGGAAGGTTGGACTTTTTCAGTTCCACAAAATAAAGCCAATGTTGGGCTTTCTTCCAAACTGTGTTTATGTTTGAGGATGGTCTCAGGTCCTGAGAAAGGGTGGTTCCCTAGAAACCAGAAGTGGTCCATAGTCTTATTGAGGACCGTGAGTGGAGCTAGTATGTTCCTGTGTTTGGGGTGGGGTTCTGAAAGTCCTCCGTTTTCCCCAAAGGTCCCGAACACACAGGTCCCATAGCGGCCTTGTCATCTTCCTGGAACAGTGCAAAGACAGCAGTCTTATGTGTGAGCTGTAGGAGATTTACAGGGTTGTCTGCTGAGGCGCAGTGATACCTAGAATAGTAAAAATGAAGAACAGTTTCTTAAGGGTGTAAATTAAATTCTGAAAGTTTAACATACATTAGATTTCACCGACTCTGACATGATAATTTTATTGTGGCCATTAGGTTGTATCTCTTGCAACCATTAGATTTAGTGATGGACACTGATAGGAGCGGTCAAACAATGGGTAATGAATATGGACACTGTAATGCTTTTTTTTTCTTACCCTTTCCTCCATAGATCTGCAGGTCTGTTTAGGGTTGTCCCTGCTGGAAGAATAACTGTTAGGCGGCAATTTTTCAGCTTTTTCTTCCTTCTGTCTATCCTAATGTTTTGGGTTTTTTCCCCAATAGAAAAGTACTCTTGGATCATGATGCTGCCCCTACCTTGCTTCCTGGGTGGGACAGTCTGTTTAGAATTAATTGCCAGTTTTTTATGGCACATGGGGTTTTGCATGGAGACAAAAAGTTGTTTTAACTTTTTAAAACTTCTTGCCACCGTGATGATGCCCTGTGAGGCGTGAGACTTTGTTTTATAAGATAACTCAGTTTAAAGGTCCACAACCCTATCCCTGACCTGTCTGGGCGAGTTCCTTTGTCATCTTAATGCCATTTGTTCAAAAACATTCATGGTAAGAATCATTAGATTTTGTTTTGCAGAGCTTTAAAGGGTGCACTAGATTTTGCTGTGGGTTTCAGAGTAGAGGGACCTTAATACATGTATAGATTTGAGCGACAGGCTAGGTCAAGTGGTAAGTCACCCGTCCTGCAAACAGGAAGGGTTTGTATCCCAGCTGGGGAACAAGAGCTGCTTTGGGGAGTGGCGGCTTAGTGCACAATCCTGAGGTTCTGAGCTCGAGCCCCACTCCCATAGACTGCCACTTTAGGTCCTTGAGCAAAAGACTCTTAACCCACACAATGCTCCCCGGGCGGTGGACAATGGCAGCCCTCTGCTCCCGAAGGGGATGGGTTTAATGCAGAGAGTTAATTTCGTTGCTCTGTATTTGTGACAGTGTAATGACAATAAAATGCTAAACAATGATGGAAAAGACTTTGTTTGCAAAACAAACCAGTCAAGGAAAATCTCATGAAAATACATTAAAGTTCATGGTTGCAAGATCATAAAACATTTTCGTTATGAATACAAGGCATCATTGACAGCAAGGGGAGATTCCTAAGATAAAAAAAAAATAATAATAATGTTTTCTATACTTTTCCTCTTATTTATTTGTTTTTTGCTTTTTCAGTTTGTGCAAGTGTTTGTTTACTTTTTTTGCCACGTAGGAAGGTGTGAGTCTAACTTTGAATAGCAATACGCTTCCTTTTTTATGAATCTGGCCAGTTGAAGGTTGGAAAATCCATCAGATTTGTTTGTCTTAAAGGGGTTTTAAAGTGGATTAACTTAAAGGCAACGTGCTCATCCTCAGTTTGTGCCTGTCGTGTGTTAGCATTTGATCTAAGGAGGCAGTGAAAGGCGCTTAAAGAGGATACATAAATGTTCTGAGGGTGGTTTAAAGCATTAGATTATTCATTTTTGAATGAGAAACTTAGCTGTAGTTATTATCATTCATCCTTGTCAACTTAACATTGATTAAGGCATGCTTTGAAAGGTTAAGAGATAAAAATGTAATATATTAGTCTGGTGCCTTCAAATTCTAACTATTAATGTCGGCTTTAAGGTTCTAATCTTCAGGTGTGCACCTCCAAAACCTTGACGTGCTGCACCAAAAAGACGGAGGAGAAGTACCAGGTGGCGGCCCGGCGAGACGTTCAAAACCTCCTGCAGAGCCACAGCTCCAGCCTGAAGCTTCTCCTGTCCCGCTACGTGGCTGCTTTTCAAGGTAATTGCTTGTGTGTTTTTAGGCGTTGCAGCTGTGGCATTGCGAACGCTAGGCTGAGTGCAAATGTTTACCCCACTAATGTACTGTTTATGTGCAGATGTTTGTGTGGGTGTTGTTAAGATACAGATGAGTCTTGTGTGTTTGTGATTCATCAGTAGATGAGACTGAGCCGTCCTGCTCAGAGAGATACGGCCCTTTCATCAGATTTGTTGTTTTTCTTTTTTTTTGGGCTAAAATACCTTTCAGGGTATTTTGCAACTCCTGTCTAATTCTTTGTAAGCTATCCCTGACACTTTGTATCTTATTATGGAATTAAATCATTATTTTTAATCACACAGGCGGGTGTTTGTGTTGACTCCCATTCCTTTCTATCATTTCATTAAGGATTTTACTTACAAGCATTGACTTGTCTCTCTCTGTCTGTGTGTATTTGCTCCTTTTGTCCATCCAGTGAAATATATTTTGTCTTACCCTGGCTGATAGCGGTCCTATGGTGGCTGAAGCTGGTGGGCAAAAGATCCACAGCGTGTGACTTGAGATGGCAGACATATTATTAAGGTTGTTCACTTTAATTCTGCCTTTCAGTGTAAAGACAGGCTGTTATCCTCCCATGAAACGCCATTGATCTAAAGGAAAGCCCCGCATGATTACAGTGTTTTAGTTGAGGTTTGAAGGGGCAATGCCCTGTTTTTGTTGGTTACTGTGTCATCTGCTTGTTGAGGGTTTGAACTTAAAATTACATTTTTACTGTAGCGTCCTTTTAAAGTTAAAAGAGGAGCACACCTGATGCTGCAGAGCAAAAGGCTGATGTAACTAATCCTTTTCAGCCAGTCTTCTGTTCTTCTTTCAGTTTCTACAGAAAATACTTGACATTACAAAATCACAACATTTATGGCTGCCTGCCATAAATGTGCTTCTTTTTGAAGTGCTTGTTGACCCTGATGCTGTCCCTTAATAGGCCACTTGTTTTCAAATGCATACAGACTCTTATGTTTTTCTATTTCTTAAAGCTCTGGTAAGGTTTGGGCCAATCTGAACATAAGAAATCAAACAGTGTTGCTGGCACAGAGCTTGTAGATGTATGAAAGTAGATGCTAAACTCGCATGGTTACGTCTCTAGAATGGCAGCCGATGCTCTGTCTTTCCCAAACCAAACAGAGCTCACTGTCAACATCCCATCAGTCAACAAACACAAGCGGCTGTCTCTAACATCCAGCCTGCGAAAGGTGAGGGACAATCTTACATTACTTTTAACTTACTTTTGAGTGTTGCTGTTTGACTCTTTTGCCTCTAGAGTCCTACTTGTTAACTTACTAATATATTTCAGCGCTATTTTATTTCTTTCTATCAAAGCAAAGATCAAGTCACTGCCATCGATGATTATTTTGTTCTTTTTTTTTCTTAATACCATCTCTATACTGACAGTAATTCAAAACTCAAACCCCTTTGCCTTTAATTCTAAGGCTGCACTATATATATTGAATCATCTGCCTATGAATACATCAAAATGGCTTAAATTGAATTTCTAGATGCTAGATCCCGCAAAGCGTGAGGGGGACGTTTGGATAAAACTAAAGAAAGGTGTGAGTTTAAATCATGCAGGTTTTTCTTAATCAATGTCATCGCTATATTTAGCACAATCCATACTCTTTTTTTTAACTTAAATTAAGCAGCCCTATTAAATTAATAGACAACGCACATGCAAATTAATCTTAATTCCTTAGGTTCCATCTGAGCTTAAATTGAGGATATGAGCAAGTCATGGATGAAGTGGAAGGGAAATTTCAATGCCAGGTTATATTATTGAATAATACACAAATATTTAAACAATTCATAAAGCAATGCTCAGTCCATCATAGGAAATCATCACATCATACAACACATGCAAAGCTTTTTTTAGGCAATCCCTAAATCACCTTAAAATGTTTCAAAACCTTTCTTTGTTCTTTTTCTTTTTAGGAAATCCACTAAATGTAAACTGGTGTTTATTAAGATCCTTGAAATGAGCATGCATTCAAAGGATTATTTTTATTTTGTGTGTGAAGCACATTTAAATAATTTCATCACTGCAATATCAGCTGTTTCTGTATTGCTTTTAGATGAGTTGTTTTTCCTGCTCCAATCCAAACATATCTTCTCTACAATCGGTTTTCTTCGTTTAAAAAAAACAAACAACGTAGGAAAAACAGTCAGATATAAACAGCAGTTTTACCTAGTTTACTAAAATTAGTCTGTTGTTGTATCTCTACATGCTTCCACCTCCTACACAGATGAAACAATTTAGTCCTAGGAGTTTTGGACACCAGCCTTACACACAAAGATGCACAAGCCACTCAAGCAACAATTGTAAATTGCTCTGGATGTTTTAAGCACCACTGTCACAGAGTGAAAACCAGCTGTGGCACAATTTGTATAGGAAGTGTGGAGGGACATTATTGTTCACCAGATTCTTCTAAAAGAAAGGAGACATTTTTCTTATACAGACAAAAAGTCGAGCATTTCACCAGCTGTTCAGATCTGTCAAGAACATTTTTCTGAGTTAGTATCCACTTTAAGAGATTACTGATGTACAAAAAAAGCATATGAAATATTTCTAAATTTACTGAGAAACAAAAAACCCATAGATTTAGTGATGATTGGCAGCCGACGCTGTAATTTGAGAGACATCAAGAAACAAACAGTATATAGCAGCACAGACAGGAAGAGGGATGAGATAAAAGGAGGGCAGCTAATGTGGTCATTTGTCTTCTGCACAGCCTTCAATTATGTCTCTTTATATGATGCAGTAAAGGGGAGGGGAGGAGGGATAAAAACATTAGCGGAATGTAGCCAAACAACAAGCTTAAAAGTATATGAGACATAAACTGTAAGTAATTTCTTCTTTTCCTAAAAAGCAAAAAAACAAATAAATATTAGAGGAAATTCATTGTTTTCTTCTGTATTTCATCTTCTATTAAAATATATTTTCCATTCTTTTCTGTACTAGTATTTTCCCCCTGGTCTGTCAGTAAGCCTGCATGCTTTCTTTCCGCTGTAGTGAGGTTTCTGCACTTCCTTCACACAATGCACAAATATCCAGCCTGCCGAGAAGGCCTTCAGGGGAGATCTTTCCTTCATACCGTGCAGGTTTGTCTCACATCCATGGCAACCAACCTAAGCGATCCTGCTGCCCCGTCGGGCAGGAGTCACATAAAAGTCAAAGAGAAGCACAACATGAATCAGCTGTTGAGACGCCCGAGAGAACGTCTGAGGATTGCTGCGCAAATTAAAGAACACCAGTCTGAAAAAAAAAAGCACCACATCAAAGCAATGCCCTCCTCTGGTAAAATGTTTATTTGAACAATATCTGAAGCACTGATTTGTATCGCACTAACTGTCGATGCGCGTCGAGAGGAATAGCAGAAGAATGCTCAGAAACTCTCAGCTGTGGCACTTTGTCGTAACTCAACTGAACCGGAGTTCAGTAAAACAAACGTGCAGCCACAAAAATACACTTTAACCGAACCAGTAAAATGATTTATTCTGGGAAGTGTGCGCGAGGAATCGACTCAGAGCTTCTCCCAAAACTCACACAGCAGGTCAAATAGCACACATATGTCTTGTATATTAAAGTGTATGTAACCAAAAACCATTGTTATGGGCTGTGCTTCTTTTTTATTCATGCCTGGAGGAAGTTTGCGGAGTCATTTTCAGATTCCTATCCTCACCACAAAACCCATCCCCTCAGCTACATTTTAAGATTTATGTTTGCCGTTTTAACACTTTTGACATAAAAGTTTATTTGTTGTCTTGAAAAGACTGTTGTAAACTAGCTATTTATCTTCATGAATATTGAAACTAGTTTTTACGTCTTTATGAATCAGAATCAGATCACATTTATGGCCCTAGTAGGTTTTGCACTTACAAGGAATTTGTTGATGGTGCAGACAAATTAGATATATATACACAATACACAATCTATACCCTTATATAAAATGTAAAAACATACAATATACTATATACAAAATATTGTATATAGCAATATACTATATACACGGCAGACTGCTAGTAAAGTTGGTTGTCCTATACAAAAAAGAAGACGTGCATCACAAAGACAGAGGTTCTTAACCCGCAATTAGCTTAAAGTCTTAATAAGTAGAACAAGACCGCTTGAAGAGCAAATAGAGACAGACTGTTTTAAGGTTAATCCTCTTGTTATTGAATGTCTGCTTTATGAAACTGCTGTGACCATTAGAGATCTTGCGGCTTGTGGTCTTGCTTCCAGTCAGTATGTCATTTTGGTTTTGTCTAGAAAGAAAAAACTCAAGCTAGAAGTCAGCATGAGACAGAGGAAATTAGTGGGCAAAGATGCAAGCATTCGGGTTTTTATTTGCATTTGTTTCAAACTGAGACCTTCTGGTTAGGACTGAGGGTCAAAATGGAAAACATTCCTAAAGTTACAGGATATGTATAACACAGAGAGGTTCAATTAAAAGCATTAATATTTGTTAAACTAAAGCAAAACTAAAATAACTTTTGCAGCACATTGGTTCTAGCACATCAGACCAAACTTCCACCTATTTGTTTATTATATTCAACTAAACTTTGGTAATGTTTTAATGATCAAATTACACTGAACTTTCATCTATATTTAACATATAATTGAATTGTATTGGTAGGATTGTATGTGAATGAATTGGACTGAGCTGAAATTAATATAACCGATTCAAGCTAGATCACTTTGTCTTGTGAATTAGCCTACAGTAGGAAGGATTTTTTTATTTTTTTTCTGCTGTATAAATAAACTCAATAAATCTTCTATCAGGGTGTTTTTATCCTGTTCCATAGAAAAATGTTCTTGCTCTCTAAAAACCAGCACCCACACTAACTGAATGCATCATTTATTGCGGACCACCTGCTGGTCTTTTATGTTAATATCCACCCCCAATGGTGAACAAAGCAGATTTCACTGTGGTACCCAGGCTCCCCTTTTCTCCTCCCATTTGTACTCTGTAGCTTTT